ATGTAATACCTGCACAGAAGAGTAGCGCAAAATGACGCAGTAAGATCCGGTGATTTTGTCAGATCTTGAAGATTCGTTTGTGTGGAGATCTCTCATTGACTCTCATTCTATTTTTTAATATTCTGAATTGCACTGCAATGAAACTGTAAAAAAACAACCAGATGAACAGAAACAAAAGTAATATCTGTCGCCACTTTTTGCATGTATCTGAAACGCCCATTAACATTGCCCGGATGTCCTCAGAGCGGTCAGGATTTACAGTATATAATTGTGGGGACATTTTCTCACATTCTGTCCCCATTGATAACAGTGTAATATATAACTTGAATCGATATTCTATCCCTATAAATACCATTGTCTAACTTCCTTAGGAAGTGTTAATATATAGACTATACAGTACATAACTGAATAACATAATTCATCATTAATAAGTACAATTCGCACCATTTTAATCGAATAAGCCAAACTAGCGGGTGTACTGCTCGTCCCTGGATGCTGTCGGGTACGCAAGTTAATGGAAGTGACACGAGGGTGTCCTAAGCAACATTTTTGTGAATATCAATTGAAGAAAATACAGATTACAATGCAACAATTCAGAGGGACTTAACATTTAAATGCAGGAAAGGTATCTATATGTTACTCCTTCTACTTTTTGTGATGATGTCGCACCTGTGCAGTTGGGCAACTGAAATTGTTTAACGGCGTCTTCAAACGGCCAGTTTATGTTGACGACTTTAAAAGTGCTGAGAGGTTACGGCCCAATGAAGAAACTGGTCTTGCAAGTGGGTATGAAATTGTCAAAAAAAGTCACATACTACGCCTGTTATCTTAAAGTACCATACTTACTATTAAAACTGTAGTAAATATTCAATAATATCTGAACCAGTACACCACGTATATTTATCTAAACGGGGATCCTAAATTTGTCTTAGATCCACAGTTAATTAAATCAGTAATTATACTCTTTATTTCATGTATAGACTTGGCACCTAATCGCAGGGCGCTTTACATAAAACAAAACAAAACAAAACAAAACAGAACGTTATACAGAATTGAAAACGTATAAACAAATGCATAATTCAAATTAAAATTGGAATTACAAACTAGTGAACAAAAGTAAGTTCTAAGTTGCGGTTTGAAAACCTTGCTGACTGAAGACAGTTTAATGTAATAAAGCCTATATGATATAAAAGAAAAAGGAAGGGGG